GAGGTCAAACCCGAGTACCTTAAAAAAAAAAAAAAAAATATATATATATATATATATATATATATAACACAGAAAGAAAGGAAAAGAAAAGCCTGCTGAGAAGGTAGACTTTCTAGGCCATATTTCTACATAAGTCAGCTTTAAGCTGCAGTTGTTTTCTTTCTTGGAAGAGTTCATTTTCTTAGCATTTATATTTTATAAATATAAATGCCAAGGACAGGTCCCAGGCCAAGGAGAGGTCTTCTATAATAAGTCATCCCAAAGTCAGCCTGTTCAGAGCAGGCTTATCTCCTCCAAAGCATTTCCCTTTGAAATCTTTCAGTCTATCAGAAGCACCATGATTATCTCAAACAACCAGATTCAAAATTTCTCAGTGAGTATTTTCTTCTTCCCTCAATCACAGCACCAGAAGTCAAAAAGCAACCAAGTCCTACTAAGTCTCAGTCACACAGCTATTTATTGGGACCATCTTTGTGACGGACACTGGAGATGCAAAGATGAGGAAGATAGGCCCTTCCCCAAAGAGATGATGATCAAGTGTCTCTCCCTTGATATTTTCATAGCTACCATTGATGTTTTAGATTCTCATTTTCCTGTGGTCACTAGGGATTGACCTCAGGGTCTCACATGTGCTAGGCAGATGCTCTACCACTTGAGCCACACTCCCAGTCCTTTGTTTTCAGTTTGTTTTTCAGATAGGAGTTTCTTTTTCAGAGAGGGTCTCACAGTAACTTTGCCTGGGCTGATGTCAGACTGTGATCCTCCTACTTTTGTCTCCTGAGTAGCTGGGATGACAGACATGCACCATCAAGCTTAGCTTATGGTTGCTTTTCTACAACCAACACCTAATGGCTCTTCCTTATTTGAACTATTCCCTTCCTCCTAACTCTCCAGTTCCCATAGCATTGTGCTGACTGAATACTTTCCCTAAAACAAAGGACTATCTTTACTGTATTCTTGGTTTCTAAAAATTTCCTGTGGACTTCACCATGATAATTAAAGCCCTGTGCATCATCAGGCCCTGCCCCCATCTGTCTACAATTATGCCCTTTATCCTAAGTACCCTGTAATACAAGTGCATGGCTCCTACCCAGCTAGCCTTCATGCCTAGCCCCATCATTCTTAAATTGGTTGCTGTCTCCTTTTCTGTCCATCCTCAGAGCTATAGCTCAAGTCCTGCTTCTTTCTACAAAATGTTTCAAGAAATTCATGATCTTGCACTGATATCAGAGTTTCTGTGTAAAACATTCATTTTGACATTGAATCACACATATTCATATTTTTGGGTGGTACTAGGTTTTGAACTCAGGCCCTCATGCTTGCTTGACAGGCACACTACTGTTTGAGCCACACCTTCAGCTCTTTCTGCTTCAGGGTTTTTTTAGGGGGGCTGTGAGCCTCCTATTTATGCTTCCCGTGAGCTGGGATGACAGGCACGCACCGCCACTTACCATTGATTGATTATGGTGGGGTCTTGCTAACTTTTTGTTCTTGAGGGCCTCAAACCATGATCTTCTGGATCTCTGCCTTCTGAGTAGCTGGAATTATAAATGTGAACCACTGTGCCTGGCCATCATGTTTTTAATTTCTTTTCTCTCCAAACAGACTATAAATTTTTTGAGGTCAGTAAAGAAACTTTTCATTTTCTTGTTTGCTTTCATGCATCTGGTACTTAATAACTGTTTCTTCAGTCCCTCCTTTGTACACATTATCCATGCACTAAGGGGTTCTGCAATGTTTTGACACAGTAAATTCTACACAGATATTTGCAGATGTACACATTTTACCCTCTTTGCTAGCAAGCAGCATGTTTATTTAAGAAAACATGACTTTGTGAGAGCACACAAGGGAGGTGTGAGGATAGGTAAGACACCTAAAAAAACTAGATAGCATCTGTTGCCCTCAATGCAGAGACTAAATCAGATACCTTAAAAGCAACTGAGGCCAATAGGAGAAGGGGACCAGGAACTAGAGAAAAGGTTAGATCAAGAAGAATTAACCTAGAAGGTAACACACATGCACAGGAAAGTAATGTGAGTCAACTCCCTGTCTAGCTATCCTTATCTCAACTAGCAAAAACCCTTGTTCCTTCCTATTATTGCTTATACTCTCTCTTCAACAAAATTAGAGATAAGGGCAAAATAGTTTCTGCCAGGTATTGGGGGATGGGGGGGAGAGGGAGGGGTGAGGTGGGTGGTAAGGGAGGGGGTGGGGGAGGGGGGAGAAATGGCCCAAACATTGTATGCACATATTAATAAAAAAAAAAAGAAAAGAAAACATGACTTTGAAGCTCCCTTAGTTTTAATCACTTGACCACAAGAGTTCCATTATTTGCAAATAATCCCCAGGTGTCAACTGTAGGAAGTCTCAATGATTGGGCTGCAGATGGATTTATTATATATTTATTTGCTTATATTCCTCAGAATTTAATGGAAGTTTTGTAATGGCTTCTTAAAAGAATATTATTGCCTTTTTAAAGCTCACATTCTACTTTCCTTCAATTTGATATAAAATGCTATAAATAAATAAAATGAAAAACTGTTCAGCTACTTGACATCTATAATAACAGGGGATGTTTCTATAAATCCAGCTTTATAAATAGACAGAGGCTTCCAGATTTGGCCAGCTATACTTGTAAAAAAATGAGGAAAGAGGATGGTTTATTATGATTTAATTGCCCAGACTTCTGTGGAGGGTTTGCACAAGGCAGCTTACAAATATGTCCATAAAATAAACATTGTAATAGAATACATATGCAAGTAAATAAGTAAATGTCACCATGACTATTCTCTTGAACAACAACAAACAATAAATGGGACAGCCCAGATGTTTACTTAAATTGGTCCTGAAGGGATGTGTAGGCTTTTGGGTAGTCATTATGGTTATTGATGTACCTTTTATCCTGAGCTGTTACTAAGAGAAAACATACCATCCATCTATCGAGCCTCTATCCATCTCATCTGCAGCGGGATGCTCGTGCAGCTTTTGATTTAAAGAGACTGATGGTTTTTTTGTCTTTTTTTAAAAAGGAAAGAAAGAACAAAAAAACTTTAGAGAAAAAATATTTTTAATTGAGTCAGACTTTGTATGAGAAAACTTGCAGAGATCACATAAGGCTTGGAATAGCATTATCTTCTTCCAGAGAGGATTTACTTTGTGTCTATTAGTTATCTAGGCTAAGGACAAATCTCCTAAAGTCTACGGAGGGTGGAAATAATTCAAATTCAGGCTTCGGTCCTTTTGAGAGCTGGCCTTTTCTGGGGATTTTTGGAAGCTCTGCTCAGCTTCTCTGCCTCTCAGCCAGTGGCTTTACATTCAACAAATGTCCTGTGAAAAAAAGCAGCTCCGAGTGCTGGGTTCACCTCTCTTGGCTTCCCTCTTACTCTGGATCTTAGTCCTGTAAATCTCCCTGCCCCAAAAGCTTTCAAATAGGGGTTTAGTATATTTTGTTTTTTGTCTTATTCTCAGGAGACTTGGTCTCAATTAACTTAACAGCCTGAAATAGAAGCTCCTTTACCGCTGGTTTTCTTGCTGTCACTTCTCATCTGACTTTCTAGCTAATTATCTCGAATTGATCCTTAATAGTTCAATACCTCAATAGCTTCCTCTTTCTTTTTTGTCTATTCTGCACATGTGAAAAGGTCTCTCAAGATCAGATTCTGTTTCCACTTGTTAGCTCTGTGATTGCTTAGGTTATGATTGTCTGTGCAAGTTCCTATGAGGATCCTGCTACCAGGATCTCTGAAGTCCAGTCTTGAATTAGACTAGGTAGCAAAAATATCCTGGAGATTAAATAGTTAAATAGGATTCCCTGTTTGAGCCTCTCACCCTGAAATGACAGTTAGGAAAGGTGCTTCATGGTATTCTATAGGAAGTCATGACACCCATATCTACCAGTGGAAGGAAGGTATTTACTTTTAGCTTTGACTCTATCAGGAAGTTAATCTTTCATCCAATGGGTTCTGACTAGAACCTGCTTATACTAGCAATGCAATCAGAGGCAGTTCTAACAACACCAGCAAGTACTTACTAAGGGAGGGCTGGCAGAGCCATAGCACCAGGCAATCAACAACGGCCTTCCCATAGAAAAAACCAAGCAGCAGATACTTCTTGCAGTATTTTAAGAGAAAGCAATCTCACTAGTAATATTTGAAAGACTTAATGCTTATTACCTGAAAATATGAACAAGTAAAGACATGCCTCTGGATAGTAATATAATAAAATAATTTAGCACAGGCCAAAACCTGAGTGGAATTCACAGCAAAGAATCAAAATATGGACCATGAAACAAAACCCATAATAATCTAGACCAGGCAAGCACAAAAAAAATTACCTAGCTGTGAGATGTGGAAGTACTGGAGAAAGGGGTGCTGAGGGGGTCGTGGACCTCCACATCACACTGCTTTAATAAAAGTATTTTCTATCAGGGTGAGCTGCAAGTTCTCCAAGCACAGCAGACAACTCTTTAATGATCAACTGAAAACCTAGTGCTGCCTGCTGATGACTCATTGATGGGTCATTAACTAGAGCAACTCACATTTCTCACTGTGACTTGTATTACAAAGCTAGCGAGAAAAACTGGAAGAAAATGCATAGAAAGAAAACAAATTTTGTTCTAAAATCATGTGATTAGGGACAAATTTCATCCTTCTATGTTTTCCAAAATTTCTCTAATGCTATTGTATTTTATTTACAAAATAAATAAGTATATGCCAAATACAAGTGGTACAAAAAGTGACATCTTCTAAAACATAATTGAAAGCATAATGAAAACTTTCTTTTGAACATAGAATTTTGTGATTCTACTAGCAAAATTACAAATTTCTGTAGAAGCAATGGAGATGGATTACCAGGTGTCACACAAGAGGGCCTTAGAATTCAATTATCCTGATTGCCAGTTGGCTGCTCCTACTTTTCTTTTTAACATCATGTTGCTTATTTTCCTAAAAAGAAAATGAACAAAACATTTTTCACTCATATTATGTATGGAAAACTTTTACCTGAAGTTCTCATATTCTTCTGCTTGCCGTTTCCATGGACAGCCCTGTATATTTGTGATAATCTGAAGGTAGTCATCCTCTGAATATCTAAAAGTTAAAAGTCAATATAATTAGAAAATAAAGATCTCATAGAGGACTTTCCTAGAAAACACTTCTACTATTTTAGCCTGCTATATCATTTCTGAAATCAAGATGAAATAATGAAATATCATACTCATTTCAAAACCTCTAAGAACATACAACTTGAAAATAATTATTCTGTTGGTTTAGGAATACATAAATTGTATATTTCATAAACTTAATCTAGTATTACAAACTAGGACAACACATATACATCATCTAGTCATTTCCTCTTAGCTTTGCCTGATTGATGAATGAATATATATACTTTATAGATGTTTGTCATAAATAGATAGCTAATCATTTTTTTTTCAGACTCTAAGTTGATAGATTTACCTTGGGATACATAGATAAAATTTCCCGCAAAATAACCTTCTTAAGTTTTAACTTTGAACAGGAAATTTAAAAATCAGATTGGACTAAGGTAAGAGAGATGTATATTGGCATAAAAACCTATGGGCACAGTGGTACCGGTTGAGAAGCCTGGGGAGCAGCTCAGTCCCTACAGATCTTCCCCTATCTGAAATTCCACCATGATGTATTAATTCCTAAAGTACAGTATATTGTTTCATCTTGAAGGGTGCTCACTTGAAATGCAAATATCCCTTGAAGTGAGAAAATCCTTACATTTTCTTTAATTCATCTTAGAGATCAAGATGGTATAACATGGAAATAGAGTATATGCTGGTGAGCTGGATGGGAAGTGGGAAGGGGAAGGTGTTGTCTGGGAAAATTATTCTCCCATCCACATAAGTAAAATGAAGTTTCTCTAAAGTTTATCTTTAAAAGAATTTCTTATGGGTGGGGAATGTAGCCAAACAAGTAACTCCTTTGTCCCAGAAATTTGCCTTCCTCTTGGGTTGCTCTCTTTTCAGTAAAGCTATCAACATGAATCAAAAATGTTTTTCCTTGGTTCCTACTGACCCAGCTGAGATTACCTGAAAGACTCAAAAGACTCTATTAAATACTAAAAGAGAAGCTAAGCAAAGAGCTACCACAGGAGGAATTAAAAATAGTTTTACAGCACAAAGTCTTCCAACTCCAACAGATTCAGATCACTGCATGGGTGCTAGGACTTGTCTTGGTATACTCAGTATCAGGAGAGCACAGCACTGTGACCCCAAAATGTTGGCTAGAAAAGATACTTCCTGGCTGAAATGAACATTATCTGTCTCCCCGTGATGGGAGACACCCAGAGACCCTTGCAAGTCATTGTTAAACTCAAAAAAGAAGTACACATTCAGCAACCTACCCAAAACTTTCTCAATGTTGGCTTTGTATTTTTTATTTTTGGTAGTACTGGCATTTGAACACAGGTTCTCTGCTTGCTAGGCAAGCACTCTATCATTTGGGCCACTCCCTTGCTCTTTTTGCTCTATTTTTCACTAAAGTCTCATGCTTTGGACTGCAATCCTACTATCTATGCCTCCTAAATAGCTGGAATTGCAGATCTCTACCACCACACATGGCTTATTTGTTAAAGTGGGGGTCTTGCTAACATTTTGCCCAGGCTGGCTTCAAACCATGATCTTCCTCATATCTGCTTCCTGAGTCACTAGGGTTATAGGTGTGCATCACCATATCCTGTAATTAATGCTGGCTCATAAAGAGAAGTATAACATCATAAGTTCTCTCCATCTGGGGAAGTCTTGTTTATCCCCAAAGCGTGGCTTTAAATTTTATCATTATATTGACAGCACAGCAATGAGAGCACTATATATATATAAGGGTCCATGAGCAAGAATAACAAAATATAAATTCAAGTAAAAAGAAACTGAAAGGGAAGAGGGATAAATACAAATAGTATGTCTAATCAAAGAGAACTGCAATTTTAGTTTAAGGCAAGATAAAGGAAATATTAAATAAATGCATAGTTATCATTCTGCCATGAAACTAAATGTGCCAGAGTTCAAACTTTTATTTAAATGGTACTGATTAGGTGAAAGGTGAATTAAGTTTCTCATGACGTATAACTAGGATTTGTGAACTTGAAGGGTTAGTATTAGAAAGTATTGAAAATTTAAAACAAAGGTAAAAGCTGAATGAAATGAACAAAGAATCATTCAGCTGTGAGACAACCTCAAATGGCTTAGTACATGTGTAATTATAGCAAAAGAAAGGAGACAAATTTGAAGAAATTATATTGGAAATTTTTCCCAAATTTAATGAAAACTATAAATCCAGAAATCTAAGAAGACCAGCAAATCTGAAGCACAAGAAAAATGCACAAAAACAAGACACATTAGAATTCTTAAAGCTAGTGGTAAAGAGAACATCTTAAAAGTAATTAGAGACAAAACACATTTTGTACAAAGAAACAATGATAAGCATGGCAGTATACTTCTTGTCAGAAACCATGGAAACTGGAAGGCAGTAGAATGATAACTTGAAAACAGAATGGGATTTGGGAGAAATTGTCATTCTAGAATTCTGTACTCTGAAAGTCTTTTTCAAAAATAAAGGTGAAATAATGGCTTTGCCAGACATGAAAATCTGAAAGGTTCATAACCAGTAAACCTATAGTAAAAGCAATGTAAAAAGGAAGGCTTTAGGCAGAGCAGAAATGAAATCAGTCTGGTGTCTGGGTTGAAAAAAATAACATAGAACAATGAGAATAAAATATGTAAACAGAAATGAAAAACCTTTTCTTATTTTTAAACCTTTTCAAAAGATGATCATTAACAGTTTAAAGTGAATATAATAATAATACATCAAGGGAGTTACAAAATATGTAAAAATAAAAATATGACAACTGTGGAATAAAGGCTAGAAGGCAGGGCTGAGGAGAAAGGAGCAGAATTAGAAATGCTATAAATTGCTTGAAAGTAGACTATAATAAGAAAATGATGTATACTATGTATAAAGCAATCAGTAAAAAACAAAGCCACAAAATATAATAAAAATATTCAAATCAAAAGGATGCAGAAAAGGGAGGAAAGAAAGCAAAGAACACACAAATAGAAAACAAATAACAAGATGACAGATTTAAACCCAAATAAATGAATAAGCACATTAAATGTAAGTGATCTAAACATACCAATTAAAAGGCAGAAAATATTAGATTGGATTTTTTACAAGGAACCAATTATATGTTGTCTACAAGAAGCCAACTTCATACAAACAAGCAAATAAAGTAAAAGTAAGAAGTAAATAAAAAAAGATGTTCCACAGTAGAATGAATTAAAACAAAGTTGGAGTGGCTCTATTCATAGTAGATTCTGAACAGGGAATATTACCATGAAAAAATAGTACTCCTGAGCAAGGAATATTATCATGAAAAACATAAGGTAAGCTCACAAAATAATGAAATAATAAGAAAAGAATCAATGAGATAAAAACCAGCTCACTGAAAACATTAACAAAATTGATGTGACCTCTTGTCACACTGATCAAGAGAAAGTAAAGAAGATAAAAATAATTATTGTTGGGAATGAGGGTGCAGGGCAAACAACCCTCCTAAAGAAACAATAGCAGTATAACTTTATGCCAAAAATTTTAACTAACTTAAATGCAATGGGTATTCTTACTTAAGACACAAACTACCAAACTCACTCAAGAAGAAACAGAGACACAAGTAGTCCCATAGCTATTACAAAATTATAATTAAAATCCTTTCCATAGAGAAAACTCCAAGCCTAAATGGCTTCACTAAAGAATTTTATCAAACATTTAAGCAATATTAATAGCTCAAAGAGCCCTATATTACCACCTGGACCTCCTTCAATGAATTGCCCAAGAAGTTTCACATTGTAGCTCAATTCTATCAGTCTAATAACCCAGCTGACCCTTCCTAACTTTCCATAGGACCAGTCAGAGGAAGTCAGAACTGGGGAGAGTAAGTAGAAGCCACAATCCATGGAATAAAGGAAACGTTGCTTTGAGCCTTTTCTGAGTAGTATATGGCCTCGTTACATTTCATGTTTGTGTTTAAATGTGCATTTTCTAGATTATCATGCATAATCTACATGTCTTAGGGATTGAGGGCTAGCGATGATCAGTCTTCAGAGTCCTCAGGGGAAGAGGGTGGAGTGGGAAACCAACATGTAGAATTCAGTGGGAGAAAAGCTCTTATAGAATTATTGGTCAAGGTACTCTGAGAGCTGGTAAGAAGTAGCAACTTAGCTATCCCAGGAAGTCTTTAAAAATCATATTAATTTAAACATTCTCTAAGTTTTTAGTAGCTAGAATTTCAAAATTTAGATATTTGATCCATAACAATTGTTAATAAAATAATGCTTATTATCTTAGCTATAGCATTATGGAAAAATTTAACTTTTAGTCTAGTAATGAATATTTAAAATTTTTTTAAGGCTGTTAAGTCAATCCCCCCTGAAGTGAAAGATCTTGGCATGTGAACACACCATCAGTACAATGAAGATTATGACCCTCCATCATCCACAGAAGTTTTCTGGTGCTCTGCTGTAATCCATTCCTCTCTTCCACTGCCTGGGCACTTCCATCCACATCCCCAGGAAACCCCTGATATGCTTTGTTACTCTGCACTGGTTTGCATTTTCTGGATGCTGTCTGCATTGTGTATTCTTTTTGTGGTCTGGCTTCCTTCATTCAGAATAATTATTTTGAGATTGATCTATATTTCCAATATATTATGCTGCATCTCATCTATTTTCATAACGCAACTGAAAATTAATCCCATCAGAAACATTTTCTGGTCTCAAGACCTACAATAAATCACACTAAATAATGCAGCAAGTTATTTTCAAGAGAATAAATTAATATCTTTTAAAATCATTATTAATAATACCCCAAGTGAGACACAAATTATAAATAACATACAAAATGATATTAAGTAAATATCTTACTAAATGTTTAAGTTTTTTTCTAGAACTGTCTCTTTGAAGATGAAGATTCATATGCTGTGATTCATATAATCTCAGTTAAGATAAAATTGGTTTTATTACATGCTCTAATGTTGGGTAAGTACCCAAGTATTTGTTGGGTACTTA